CGCACGAAGAAATGGCCTTCATTTTTCATTTCCCTGCTCAAAAGCCAGCCAAATAAAGAATCCAAATTCTTTGACACTATCAAAACTTCCAAGGTCTTCTTCTAATTTACCTTCTCTTACTCAACCTCCTACCATCACTCCTTCAGACAAATATACCTTCTATCTCCTGGAATCCAAACCACCTTCTAGAACACATATACAGTCCCTTCTTGATGCTTCATGCTACACCAACTTACCACCCTCAGCAAGAGGCAGTCACCTCCACCCACTAGGACATTCAGAAATTCATATTGTAATATACCACATCTTACAGTGTACTATGTGACTCAGTTATTTATAAATGATGTCTGTCGCTAGGATTTGAAATAATTAGTATGGAAATCAACAGAGTGCATCTAGAACAACTTTTGAAAGAAAGATGTTGATTCAAAATCTAAATAGTAAAATATTTTAAGTCAAAAAATTACTGTCAATTTAAGTTTCTATTATATATATGCTTTCTACTACAGTGATAAGCTAAGATAACCCTTGGTAAAATTCTGTTAAACCTTTTTACTTTAGCAAATAAAGCTCTTCCTAGGCATCAAAAGTAGCAAACTTAGAGATCATTTCATTTAACTCAGCATGAATTCAAAATCTAAATCAGTAAGTGTCATTATACCATAGCAAAACCTAGTAAGTTCCAGGACTCTCCTAATGAAGAATGACTTCAAACAAGAAAAGGAAATATCAAGATTACAAATCAGTGATATTTCATTTCAAGACCCTAGAAGAGAAAGGTTCTCAAAACCAACAAAAACAATTTGTATCTAAAATTGTATCACCTTCCAGGTCTGGTGATATAGTATAATCCCAACTACTCAGGAGGCTACAACAGGAGGTTCACAAGTTCAAAGCCAACCAGGGGAACTTAGTAAGACCTTATCACAAACAAACAAACAAACAAACAATAAATAAATAAAATAAAAAGAGGGCTGGGGATATAAACCAGGAGAGTGAGACAACACACCTGCTTAGTATGCATTTGATTTCCAGTAGTAGGGAGGAGGGAGACCTACATTTTATGCCTTATAGAATATTTTTCAGAGGTATGAGGAACTGAACTTTAAAAAGTACTATTATAGTACTACTTCTATATATATATGAAATATATATACATATGTATACGTATATATATTCCATACTTCACTGATAATCAAACTTTAAATTTCATTCTGGTAAAATTACAGAGAGAGAATAAATTGTATTTCAAGTCTAAGCAATATATTAAATGTACTATGAGTAAAAGGCAGGAAAATACTTCTTGGCATCATTGTTTTCTAAATGCTTTTAAAGCTTATAGTAATTTAACTTCAAATAAATGACAAGGACAGCAAGACAAAAATGTAGGCAAGTACCCAAGTTGCTTTGCTCTTCAGCATCAAATAATTATTTTCTTATTTCCCAGGCATCCATGTACATTCAGTGCATCTGTTAAATGGAAAATTGTTTCTTCTGTTTTCTATCACCTGGCTAAGAATCTTGTGCAAACCACACTCAGGAGCCTCATATTAATAAATTATGACTCTGACCACACTGATTAGCAACCATTTCCTTACCCTCATTTGAGTATTTCAATAAGAGCACAATAATGCTATTCCTAAAAGACTAGAGCCAGCAGAATCCAGCCAAAAGGCCAAACAGCAGCCAAAGTAAGATAGGTATGCTCTACTCGGCCACCATGGTTCGGGTCTGTACTCCAGCTGGGCCATACCCCATGTCAACTGTCTATGCAAACCCACAGCTCTGATGTTCTCCTGGTTTCTTCCAGGTCAAAGGCAGGGTTACACCTTATCTAGCTTTATACCTCCAGCACTAATCACTTTGTAACACATAACAGATCATCCACAAATATGTATTAAGTGTTTAAGAAACCATATCTATAACAAGTTTGAAACAACATTTCATTCTGTTTGTATTTTAAGCCTAGATGTGTATTCATGGGAAGAGTTCTGTCACAGTATCAAAGAGGCCTTCACCTGGTGACTTGCAAGTTTGGCGGTCAGTCTTTGAGACTCATAAATAGAGTTAAAGCCAGAAAATTTGTCTAAATGGGGTGCTTTGAGATAGGCTACGGGCCCCTTTGTCAGTGCCTGTATTATATGAACTCTGTGCTACTGATATTACAAAACCTGACATATCTTACTATGAACACAACTGAGCAATTGGTTTCTCTGATTCTCAAGGACATTAGAAAGAATGCCTAGATTGCCTGCTCTCTGAAAACAGAGAAATCAGTTGCAATTGAATTCTCAGCTGACCATCTTAAGTTCTAGAGAGCAAGGGGTAATGAACTTATAAGCTATGTTCTTTATAGTCTAAGGCTGATTCACTATAAAATAAATTATGTTATTTAACAGTTGCTTCTAAGTAATAGATCTGCCCTTGGGAAGAGGCTTCCTAAAGAAAACTTCACACTTAGCCCTGGTGTTTACTTAACAAGCAATTAGACCTGAAAGTTTCTTTGTTCTGTTATTCACAAAGTCAACTCATACTATTGCAGCTATTTTTAAGAAGCTGGTACTGTGTCAAAAGTTAATACCTTTGTACTAAGAATAAAGTTCCTGAAGAAATCATCAGTGTTGATATTATGACCCGTTTCCTTTATTACTGACAAATAAAAAAAGATGAAGTCATATGGAAAAGGCTTCTATATTACACACTTCAATAAAGCATGTTGCCAATTAGTAAAACTCAGTGTTCTCTTACTGTGTGATGGAGTAGAAATAAACACACCAAACTCTTATGATGATGTATGTGAGTTTTCTCCACAAAGCCCACAGATGCATTCACCATTGTCATCTTGGATGAATAATGAAAATGAATCAGGAAAGTCATGGTGATGCACCTTTGCCAACACCCACACCCACATCCCACTAAGTAGAGATTTCGGGTAAGAGATTTCACTGTGTGTCCAACTCAACTGAAAAGGCTAAACCTAAACTCACAAAATGGTTAATAAAATAAACAATGGCAGTTTAACTATCAACCACTTTACCATAACTCATGATGAAATAATTCAACGTGGATAAAACTTAGGTTAACAAGCAGTAATAGAACAAAGTTATGTACCCCATTTTTCTTACTGTTTCACTAATGATTTTATAGCAAGTATTGCACACCACTTCCTTTTATAAATCTTTTTTTATTTGACGTCAATGTTCTATCCTTCAACCGTAAATTTACAAATTATGACCACCTAAAGGAGTGATGTGGATAAGGAATGTCTCCTCTGTAAAATCTAACCCACTGTTGCCTATTTACATAACAGATAACTTGCAAAGAGCCTTGAATTCCTTCTTCTACACTCAACTAATGATTTGGCCAATAAGGGTGACTTTCAAAATGTAATCCATAGAAAAGCAGAGCCAGCCAGCTGGTATTGTGCCTGCCAAATAATATGCAGTTTTTCCAGCTGCATATTCTTCATTCTTAAGCGTCCAATGCTAAAACCAAAACCTGACCCCAAGCAGCAAGTTGCAATGTTCTGACACTATGATATCATTCTGTCTGGAAACTTTAATATAACAATATGAAAAACTTGGCAGAAGCTTAACTAGGTCACACTGAAGCCCAAAACTAAGGATATTTACCTGGAAAAAAGTATTTTGGTGCTGCATTTGACACCAATGGACATCCAATGACAGGCCCACCACTCAGTTACCTGAGCTGTGTTTCCATAGGATAAATGAAAACAAAACAAATCTTGTCACCTTACACTGTTAATGCTACTCACAGTGGCTTCTCTGGAGCCAATTTTGTCTTTGGTAACAAACTAAAAAAAGGTAAATACAACCATATCATTTTATACAAACTTTGGCTTATCCTTTACGAAGAAGAATTTTTTTAACCCTCTAAAACAGGCAGCAAAGTTCAACTGCTTCAAAATCAAAAAGTATGAATTTTTGCAAAGCAACAAGTTATCATGTTTAGTCCACAACCCTAGTTAGTCCTGACAGCTTTACACTTGATCTCTGTAAGATACTTATGCTGCCCTTTTAACTGGACTTTTCTGAGAACTGAATCCAGCTTGGTTTCTTCTTGTGAAATTAGAGCTCATCTAAAAGCAACAAGAAGAAACCACAGAAGTTTCTGATACTCTTAGACCCACAACCCCCAACATAAATTTTCCTTTCACAGTAAACAATGTACAAAAAGGTTTCCTGTTTCAAAATGGAATGGTAGATGAAAGAAACTGTAATGACACCATTAACAGTACAGAAAAACTTTCTTAATGAAGATGGATTCACACAGATAAAAATAGAAACTCTCAGGGGCTGGAGAGATAGTTCAGCAGTTAAGAGCACTGGCTGCTCTTGCAGAGGACCCAGGTTTGATTTCCAGCACCCACACTGCAGTTAACAAGCGTCCATAACTCCAGTTCCAGGGGATCCAATACCTTCTTCTAACCTCCACAGGCATTGCACAACACAGGTGCACTTACACACAAGCAGGCAATACCCTCATACACATAAAATAAAAATAAAATATTTTTTAAAAAAAGAAAACTCTCAAATACTGCATCCTCTCTTGAGGACTTGTTCTTTCTCTACTGAACATTTTTCAACACCGCACATGTGGCTGTCATAAGAGCTCCAGCATAGACTTTTGTTAAGATACTTGTTTGTACCCTTTTGTTATCTAAGAGCAACACAATCTCAAGTAAGACTGAACAAACACCTCTAAGCTGTACCATGGCCATACACCCACAAACAGCAGCCAAAGGTAAAAACTTTGCATATCTGAGCTATACAGAGGAACTCTGAACTTTGAAAAGCAGGACAAAAGATAAAAGGAAAAAAAAAAATCCTTTCTCTGAATCCAACTTTTCAAAATACAGAGTAGAAAAATAACACAAATCCAAAGATTCTTGCAATAACAATAATTCTTGTTAACAATATGAATAAATCTGGCGAAACCACATCCAGGTGAAGAGGGCCACGTACACACACTCAACTCACCACTTTGTCCATGAGCTTCCAAGTCTTCTCCACAGTTCTGCGATCCGCAGCAGCTTGCTTGGGGGGGCCAACCGCATCCTGAATAGCATCAATAATCCCCAGAATTCGACCTTTGCGGGGGTTTCCTCCTCGACCACCAGGGTTTCTGCCATTCATAGAATTTGCCATCTGGAATCTTAGTCCTTTACGAGGCGGATTTCAAAAAGAAGAATAGATGTAAAAGTATTTTCCCAACAGGAAAATAAACACACTAACTTGTGCCTACTAACAATATTCTCTGTCATCAATGAGGAAAAAAAAAAAAAAATTAAGGGTCCCAGAGTCAACTTTTCAGTAGCCCTGCATAACTGCATTCACCAAAGTACACAGGATAAAATTTAGAAGCAAGGACCCTAGATTTGCTTTTAGAATTTTAAGAGTTAAAGATGCATCATCCTCGTTTTCCAAACAGTAACAGCTTACCAACAGCAACAGAACTTTTAACAGGTCTCTCCCAAACTAGATAAGAACACAGTGTTCTCTCCCACATCTGCTATAATCCCGGCGCAAAACACTACAACTGCAACCCCTAAAACGCACTGGGCAACTCAGTCAGAAACCCCACTTGCAGGCTGTTAGATTTCGCCAAGTTATTACATAAATGTAAAGTGCTCAGCACATGCAGAAGGGACACGTCTGTTGTCAACAAAGGCGGAGGACTTGTATGTCCTCCGGATAAAGCCAAAACTATGGACACAGAAACAAGTTCTCTAAACACGCAATGAGTAGTTTTCCCCTAAAGCAACCAACAGTTTTTTAAACAAGCTGAGAACCCCGCAAGGGCCGGCACGAACCTCAGAGTTCACTTCTTCTGGAGTGGTACCTGGTCTCCCCCACACGAGATAGGGGAGATCCGAAGCTTTGTTTCAGGACGCCTGTGTCCCCTCCTGGTTCGGGCCTCTAGCCTGCCACAGTGGAGTGCGGGAAGGGGACGGGAACGCGGCGAGGACGCACAACCTTGGCCCCGGAACCCCGCAGCCCGCCAGACCCCGCACCAGGGCACACGCACCTCTCTCCGGCTGCGGTCGGCCTCCGCCTGCCCCCTCCCGGGCCCCCGGTTGGCCCGGTTCCGCTCTTTAAATCCCCACGGCGCTCAGGTCCACAGAGGCGACAGCAGCTGGAAGCCGGGGCAGTCCCTTCTCGCCGACAGCCCGCGCCCAGCTGAGCAGCCCCGGACAGCAAGCGGCGCAGAGCTTCGCGGTGCTCGGTCCCTTCCGAGCCTCGGGGGTCGCGGCCGTCCAAGCCACTCGTGATCGCGGATCCCACTCCACGCGCACGCAGCTCGAGTGCTGGAGTGGCTCGGCGAGGACTCCGTGCAGTCGCCGTAACAGCACCTCTCAGGGAAGGAGCCACAGAGAGCTGGGCCACCCGGACGCGGGCCGCGGCAATCACCCAGCAGACAGCTCCACACCCGTCCCGTCCCGCGCCACTCTCGGGAGGCCGCCGCAGCGCCCGCCGGAGGAGGAGACCATCGGCTGGCAGCCCCACCCCTGAACCATCCCAGAGACACGGGAGCGGGGCGGGTCCGGGGCGGGGCCTCGAGCCAACTGACCAATCCCGCTGGTTGGCTCTCTACAGGACAGCGGGTGGAGCCAATGCGGGACACGCGCCCGTCCTCCCCGTGCTACCCCAGGGTCCACGTCCTCCACAGTACACAAAGGCCCCAGAGGAAGGCCCGCGCTCTTGGTGCGTCCCACACGGAGAGGGAACTCAGAGAGAAGTGGGCCTAGGCTACCCTGGTAACGAAAATAGGAGAGAGAAAGGAACTGGAGAAGACTGGGAAGTCACAGGAAAGCTAACCAATGAAGGGTGCGCAGGTGGGCGTGAGCGCCCCGAGCGGGAGCCGAAGCCAACTGGGGCTAAAAGGCGGGACTTCCTGCCTGCTCACCTTCCTAGTCTTTGTTTCATAGCAACAGAGTACAGGATGCCAGGGTGTTGCATCTCTTCTCTGGGCGGGTCCCAGGCTCAAGAAATCCATCTCCCTAGGGCTGCCAAACTCTGCTACCCAGGACAGCAGCCAAACCAGTCTAAGACAGTGTTTTTGGTTGGCTGTCAAATAAAGAGCAACAGTCCCCAAGCTTCTAGAATGAAGGGGTAAGCCACACATAGAGTAGGCAAAGGGTGAGACCTCATTGCCAACTAAAACTTCCTAAATTTCTGAAATGTTTCCCTTTTACTACTAGTTCTAGAGGGATTCCAGAACAAACATCAGACTGATGAGAAAGCAAACAGTTGACAAACGCTGGCCAAATAGTCTCTGCTAATCGTGCCAGGCCCGTAAAAGCGTCACACAGTGGGACTTGCTAGTACATGTGCTGCACCTTTTCATTCGCTACAAATTTCTGCGTAAATCACTGAAGAGAACTTAGCTGTTGTGTTTTGTCTGAGTCATCTTTACTCCACAGATATGAGTCTCCATTTTCATGACAACACTGTTTCTGCTATTCGCTAATAATATTCACCTTTCTGTGACTCCATCCTTTTGTCCATATAGACGGCAACAAAGCTGGTTATTCTAAAGATGAAAAGGCTATTTCGGAATCTGTCAACATGATCATATACTAAACAAACATTTTTTTTTTTGGTCCATTCCATGGTGAACTCTACTATTGTTTTGGATTTTCATGCTTCGAAACATTTTTATCCACTGCTGATGATGATACTGGATACACTTCAAACCTTGGGCTTCTGGATGTGGTACTTTGCATCTTTTAAAAATACTATGCATAATGTATATATATAATCTTTCTCTAACTAGTTAACCAGACAAAATGTTTCTCAGTGGTTCTGCCCACTTCATGATAAGTATTTTAGTACTGTGATTATTACTGTGAAGGTCCTTAAGTTGTCATATAAGCCTAAATTTCAGATAGGTAATTTTTCATTTGATGAAACCAACAATATGTCCTTGAAGCAGTCCGGTGACAAAATATGATTCGGGAAGTAATGTTTTCTGTCACTATTTCCATGTCAGTATTTGAAGAGTACTTCATTGCTTTACACTATGTAAATGTACTGGTCTCTCCATATCTACCCCGCCATCCACATCTCCCTTACTCATTGCAATACTAACTACATCCATTAAGCACAGACTGTAGAAAGAAGGGCTACATCCCCTATGTACTTAAAACGCACCTTTAGAATCAATCCAAAAGATCCAAAACTATGTGTAGAAGGTTTGGCTGTATAAAACCAGCTCTACATTGTAATTAAGGATATTACTCATCATCTCAGTTGGATAAGAGGAAACTAAGTAAACTACATATACTATTCCTTTTAAATTGCACTTTGTAACTGAAAGAGATGACAATGTATCAAGCACATGATGTTGATACAAATGGCAAGCCTTCATCTTACAGTCTTTCTGTACACTGTACAGGTCCAGACATAAGCAATTCCTCTCCCTTGGGCTGCCAAACGCTTCTATCCAGGACAGCAACCAAACATGTCTAAGGCAGTGTTTCTTGTAGACTGTTGAAAAAAAAAGCAATAATCACCAAGCTTCTAAATAAATACAAACCTCACATAAAGTGTGCTGTATATATCCACATATATGCATTGATATGTATGAATGTATATGCATATAATTAAAAAATTACAGCTTCATTCCCAACTACCTATTAATCAGTTCCATCCAGAGTTGAAATTAAGTTGTGGAATAACATGGGCCCCAGCTGAGCTCAGTCTGCAACTCAGGGTTTGGTGAAGTCTGATGAGCTGATGGGGCTGAGCCCTCCTGTTTGTTAGCAAGATGTAATGTGCACGGCAGAATAAAGACTGCTGGGGGAAAGTGAGGCACAAGCAATACTGTGAAGAAAAGACTGCATAAATAAATAAATGAAAGCACAAGGAAAGTTGTCTTAATGCTTTTGGGATAAGCAGTAGTACCTGAAGCTGACATAGCTGCCTAAACAAATGGTATGCTCAGTTCTAGCAAATAAGGCAGTCTCCAGCCCTGTGTAGTTTACAGTGAATGCAGTGTCACTAAGAGACTAGGGAAATGGTGGGACCATGACCTGAAATGTCTTGTCAGTACTAGAGTGGCCAGTGAGTGGAAAATATAATCAAACTGCCCATAAGCACATGTGAAGACTCAAGTGAGAGGTTTTATGGCAGGAACAATTAAGAAAGTTTCCAGAGTGATGAACACTTGTAATTTGAGTATTAATATCAAGCATTAAAATATGTGCAAAGAAGTTGGTGTCCACTGGGAAAATGAAGATGATGTTACTGTTAAAACATAGCAAATGTTCTTCAGAGGGGAAACAGCATGGAACTCTCTAGGGAAAATATTTCAGTTTTGCCCAATATTTCCTTTTACATTTTTTCTATTTTCTTCTAATTCACAAGTGGCCCTTGTGATGTTAGATCTGAGTTGACTAGATAGCTGAACACTAATAACATTTTGGTAGATTTTTAGTTAAAATCACTGTTGACTCATTTAGTGGGCAACTTAAGGATGTCATATAGAAAAGCAAAACTCTTGCAATTTTCCACAATGGAGAATTCACTTACTTTAGAATTCCAAGCAAGTTGTTAATTTTTCCTGCCTGAAATCTACTTGCAAGTCTTTTCTAGTAGATCTTCAATAGGTGCTCTCACACAAAACCAGAATAGCATAAAAGTATGCTAATCTCCCAGGGAAAATGTGGGCACAAAATCACCATTAGAAATAAGAGCAATAATATCTTGTCATGTTTGGGCTTAGTAAGTTATTCCTTGCTAAGAAGAATATGCAACTATCCATTCTTTAGCATACAGTAACTCTTGTCAGTGAAGGATGCTGAATCATGGTCATCAAATATAACCAGATTCTGAGTCCTAATTGGAGCTGGACTGAAATCCTTACTAAGCAACAAGAAAAACAAACAATGGCTTAAACACAATGAAACACTATTTCTTCTGAGGTACAAAGAGTCTGAGAGTAGAGCATATAGGTGAAAATTGTGGCTCCACAATTTCCTCTAAGATTGAAGTTCTCATCAGTACAGTTCCAGTACCTGACGCCTGCCCTTCGAGTTAATTCATATTACAAGTGGATGTTAACACTTCAGCCTTTACCACTGATTTTTCAGGCTAAAAATAAAAAAGTCAGAGGGACAAACTGAATAGCGATCAGAACCAGCTTCTTCTAAATAGTCTTCAAGAGAAGTTCCACAAATATTTCTTATAAAGAACTTAAGGCCAGAACTTAAATACAAAAGTTTGGAAGGCAGTGTACTTTATTTTTCTGTTAAGCAATAAAGTCAACTAAAAGTTCAGCTTTGGTTTCAACTTCCTACTTTTTTTCAGTTCTATATTCCTCAACTCTCATTGCATGCTTCATATTTCACAGTCTATCTTCCATGTTTCCATAATGTCTTCATTCAGAAAAGTATAGACATCCGCTTCTTGCACTTCAACATTTTAAGGAAGTTAAAAGAATTTACTATAAAAAGGAATTTATTATAATGATTTCTCTACAGTATTAATACATTTTGATTTATGTGAAATTAATACAATATTGAATTTTCATTTTTAAATACAAGTATTAATTCAGATTTCTTAAGGGTGATGGAGATCTTGGCAAGGATCACTTGACTCAGTTAGACAGATCTGAGATTTGCAAATTTATCCATGGTGATTTGGTCATCAAAACATAAGTGATGCCAGGCTTAGTGGGGTTTGTCTTTAATCCCAGCATTTGGGAGGCAGAGGCAGGTGGAGCTCTGTGATTTCAAGGCCAGCCTGGTCTACATAGTGAGTTCCAGGCCAACTGGGACTACACGGAGATCATGTCTCAAAAGAACACTCCCCCCCAAAAAACCCATAAGTTATAACCCCAAACTAACAGTAAATTAATTGGTGATAAGAAATAATATAATGATGCAAAAAAATCAGTGTTGATTGTTTTGAGAAACAAAATGTATTGGGCATCTATCTTTATCAATTTTTATTTCAAACTACTCACTCACTCGTCTATTTGATAACCCTCTTTTGGGGGGAGCAAGGAGTTGAAGTTAAGATTTTAGTATCATAAATCAGTGTGACCCACCACTCATTGTCAGGCCCCTCCAGGGACTTACTAGCTTTAGAGTGTATAGAAGGCTGCCTCTAGCCAGGGCTTCCCCTTCCCTAGGAAAGATTCAATACCAGTCTAAAATGGGAGGCAACAGCAGCTGAACGGGTCGGAGTGGGGAAGAGAGAGAAGCTTGTACAGGTGCTTGTGGGTATGAACTTATGTGTGAGAATACATGTAAAGTGCCCCTGGCTCAGAGACAGTCTAGAACAGGACAGAAGGTAGGGCAAAAAGCACATCCTTTCTCCCCATGCAATCTTCCTATTCCAAGGACATACATAATTGGTTAAGTAGGAAGTAAATATCCCTAGGTGCAAACTTTTAGGACATGAGCCCTGTGAGTCTGGTAGAGTGACAGATCTAGCCCAGGGGAATATCATGTCTGTCTCCTTTTGAAAGTCCTGGAAAGGTAGGGAATAAGAGGTAAAGGGAGACAGGA